GTTGTATAATTATGCAATTTAAGTGGTACCAATAGACCTAAGCCATGCTTGACTTCGATCTAGTCAATACTTCTCTTGACAACAAAATTTCCTGAACACTCCAAGAACTTTACAAGTCAACTAGATGCATGCTTCTTTGTTAGAATAGTGTAAGGTTGTATCAAGAATCGAGGGAGGTTTGAACACAAACATTTTCTTCTTTCAGATTTTGTAAATTTCAAATTTTTAAAATTTATATACAGTGTTCAATACAAAATTGGTGGAGGAGGACCGTACACAATATGAAATATTTGAGAATGTAGTTGAATTTTTGACTGAGAATTACAAAATGCAAATATAGGGACACAGAATCAGAGCTGGACAATCAAGAAAATTTATGGTTTACGTCTATTATACTGATTATTCTTAATAAATACGTTAATATTTGGATATTATAATACAACTGTATAATCAGATTTATATGATGTAACAATTACTAGCCCTCTAATTGGTCGTGGTTCATCATTTTAAAAATCATACTAAGTTATGTTGCACTAGACCTTCCACATGAACATAAACATGTGTATTTTTTGCTACACTGGACGAAAAATAGATCAAGAATTTCCAACAACTGATATGATTTAGCAACCCTCGAACTACAATGTTCACTCGCCTTAATGCTGCTCTTGGGGTAGCTTAACTAGCATATTGTCCTCAAAACAGAAATTATTGTATGATATTATTAACTTTTTGTATGAAGAAGCATGATAAGACGGGTAATAGTTAAAATGTCTTCGGAATTGTCGTCAAAAATTTATCTTAATAATATAAGTAATAATACAGAAATCCGTGTTATAAAAATCCTAAGTCATTAACAAAAATATCCTCCAACTTTCATAACATATTTGAACATTATTTCATGAATTAAAAAAACCTGTAATTTATTTTCTGCAAAACGAATCAGAATTAAGCAGTTTGGGTATTTTATGAAATCGAGTGTATAAAACGTCCTTTGAATTGCCATTTTGAGCTAAATAACACATTTTAAATTTAAACGACTAAATTCTAAGATTTAAAGTGATCATTTTAGTGTTCTATTGGAATTTTACATAGTTGTACTTCGCTCAATAAGATATTCACAAATCCTTTCCCCTATGTAAACGACATTAAGAAATTATTTGAAAAAAAACGGAATATCCGCCATTTTGAATCGCCATTTTGACTTTTAATTTACAGCTGCACCATCATTTAATTGTAGAATAGTGAGATGTAGAGGGGAAAATACAAATCCGCTGTGTATGGATATTTGCAAATGTAAAATCCTGAACAAAGAAGAATAAAGAAACAATAGACAAATAAATCAGAGAAAATTCGAATTAAGTGTAGAAACGACTAAATTTTCTGAATTAAACTAATAATGTTATCATTCTATTTTATTTTTTATAGTTTTATTACACTCAGTTAGATATTCACTCATTACTTCTCCATTTTGAACGCCATTAAGAGAAAATTAGAAAAATTTGACGTCCGCCATTTTGAATCGCCATTTTGACCTCTTTAAAGCCATTTTCATGAAGGCCAGCATATTTTTTCGGATTCAGCATACTCGAATTAGGTTAAAAAACTATGCTGGACCAAATAATAATTATTTGCCGTTAGGAGTATTTTTTCTATAAATCGGACCAGACTATAAACTTTTTTAAGTGCGTGAAAATGCATAATTGCATAGAAACGGTAAATGCGTGATTTTGCGTTAGACATAGGAAATGGTATATTCGTTAATGGTACACTGTGTATGTGTTGAAATGCGTGACTGCGGAAAGGGGGTTTAAAGAAAAAAATTCTTGAATAGTTTCCTGCAACATTTTTCTTCACTCATCTGAAAATATCTTACATTGTCCCTTATTACATGAAACACTTTTAATAAAGAAAAATAAAAGATAACAGACGTACCTGAAGCATAACATGACGTTAAAATGGGAGATGTACTAAAATGTTTGTTAGAGGTGATAAAACATTGGAAATGGAAAATTCAAAACGTTGAAATTTTTTAAACAGTTAGCAAATAAATAACAATTTTTTTTTTGGATTTTTAAAAGCTGTTGTGCTTTGCATGTATTATGCCTCGATAACAGTCATAATTTGACACAAAGTGCACTTGACTCCGGCTTATGAAATTTTGTGTCCACCCTGAGTACAATTTAGGCATAGTGCATGAAAAGCATAGCACAATTATATACACTGTTAATAGATTTGTATCATTTTATCAAATGTATCACATAAAAATTGCATATTTTGTACGTAGAATATGAACTTTACGCTATATTTGTCAGATAGAGTGTTCTGCTGGAAAGGTAGGACAATGATTGATTGCCTTTGTACGGTTAGTAGACAATTGAAACTATATTTAGGTTATCTTTTCTGCTAAGCATAATTGCTTATCTAAAATCCTGAACGCTCATGAGATGTACTCATACCCCAATTGGAAATTAAAGAAAACTAGAATTTGCATTCAGTCGGTGAAATTCACTATATTGCTGTAATCGACATTTCAAAGTTTTATGTAATTGATATTTTTCTTCATTTAAAGGTAATAACGATAAAACACCAAAACTTTTTCCGACGAAGACATAACAAGTAGAAGGACGAGAAAAATCAAAGCAATGATCAAAGCAACGAACCATAATCGATATCTCAAAATAACTTAAGTTCTACACCAGTTCGATCTCAAATGAAACATATAGATAGAATTATAGAAAAGATGAAATACATAATATTATGTATTTCCTATATTAAAGTTGTTTCTATCAATGTTTGACATCCCATTGTTTTATTCTTCATGTTGTACTAGTATTTGAATGCATCTTAGATCCAAAGTTTGTCTTTGTGTTCTTTATTAAAAATTAAAATATTTCCTTTGTATTTTACTAACTTTGTCTTGTAAGATTTGCTTTATATGCTCATAACTTATACAACCGTATAACGGGTAATTTTTACTGGCTGCTGTTATTTTTTTTTAGGAATTTTGGTCGAAATAGGATGATTTCAATTTTTACTCGTCAAATTTTTACGAACTGAGCATGTGCGTAAAAATTAAAATCATCGGGGGTAAATTTCTACATCAATGATTTTCAGAACTTTAATTTCATGAAAAAGAAATTAGTGTCTGGACAATCAATAAGAAAAAAATATTCCCATGATAACGATTCATCCAATTATATGTTTATTTACTTTTATAATCCATATGTCCTTCATTTATTCCAGAATCCTTTTTTTTTACTAGAAAATATATATATTGCCAAATGCACGACGTGCTCGAATTGATTTTACCATTAAATAAAGAGAGACAACTCAAATTATCATGATTTAATTAATATACAGTGCATTTCAAAAGTCGAAGTCTTTATTCGAAACATGTAAAGCAGAAAAAGGGGTCACATACATAAAATTTTAAATAAAAGTGAATGCTTTCAAGATATACTCAAGATATTTAATTCATAAATATGCAAGAAAGTCACTGTGAAAAAAATCTCTGTTAAAAAAATATCTTTTAAAGCTATATATGGCGTATCTGAGTCAAAAAATAAAAATACAAGATTAATTGTATATTTACCAGATATTTGTTACTTATAAGTCTTAGTTAAAATTTAAACCGATTTTGAACTAAAATATCACCACAAGTCTAAAGTTAAATTGACTTTAAACTGTGTCTGAAACAAATTGCTGTGGCCTTCAACTCGACACTTAGATATATCGACGACGTAATGTCAATAAATGCTGATAATTTCCATTCCTACGTCGGTTTAAATCGATACGATATATCCTGGTGAGCTTGAGATAAAAGATACCACAGAATCCGAAAATTCTGCTTCATATTTGGATAATATATTTGAAAAAGACACTAATGGTAATATAACAACCAAGCTATACGATAAACGTGATGACTTTAACTTTTCTATCGTCAACTTCCCTTACGTATGCAGAAATATACCTTCATCACCTGCATACGGCGTATATATATCTCAGTTGATTCGATACGTAAGAGCATGCTCTACGTATGAAAAATTTCTTAAACGAGGTAAATTATTGACAAATAAGCTGATTAAATAAGAATATCAGCAGTCTCGTTTAAATTTATCATTTCGTATCTTCTATGATCGATATAATGACATTGTCAGCAAATACTATTTATCATTGGGTCAATTCCTTCCCCTTTCCCGAACTGTTCCCTTTATTTACCTATCTATATACTGTAAATTAAGACCCTTCTTTAGTACTTCACAATTTATGAACCAATTATCCATTAGTAATAGAGAAAAAAAATAGAATACCAGTAAAGAATGTAAAAATGTGTAAACAGATGGTAATAAGTTGTATTAATGTATAAACGATATGCTCTTGAAAGCCGTCAATTCTCAAAGTTATAATAACCTCCTCCTCCCCTCAGGCCTGTTACATTCTCATAGGAAATGTGTAGTAGATGCTTCTCTAATTGAAGTGAGCGAGATTTAAATTTTATCCTACAAAACTGACAAATATATTTTTATAAATTATCCAATACTGTCTAAACCTGCCCGCACTTTTGTTAAAAAGGGGGTTGAACCAAACGTGCCATTCAACCAGTCATATAAATCTTTGATTTAAGGTACCATATGTTTTAGGTTTATACTGCATCTTGTCAAATTGGCAATTTAACTCATTTAAAAAAAAAAAAAAAAAAAAAAAAAAAAAAAAAAAAAAAAACAGAATAACGAGTATTTGCCTTGCATAGAGTTTTCTCTCAGAAAAATGGTACAGGTAATTTATACCAAGCTTAAACCCTTAGCATTAAATTATTTTCGTATATATGTGGTAAATAGGGAATGTCCCAACTTAAACATGTTAAACGGATCTGGTTTAAATTACTACATTCTTTCTATTATGAGCTCTTAAATACTGAAACTGATGAACAATTCGGTTCATGTGAACCTGAAGCACATTTGCAGCTCTGTTCTGCAGCATGTTAAATAATAAAGAGGGCGTGTGTGTGTATAGAGCATTTATTACAAATGCCAAATGAGATTACAGATTTTACAATATCAGAATGCAGCAGAAGGTGGGGCCCAAAAACATCCCACACCTTATACAAAAGAAAACTAGTACATATATTTTCTACAAAATTAACAATAAGTACCTTAAACAAAAGAAACTAGTACATCTGTTTTCTACAATAACAAAAGTCATGCAATAACAATAGGCACCTTATATAAAAGAAACTAGTACATGTATTTTCTACAATAACAATAATTATGGAGGATTGAAGGGGTGGTGGTGGGTAAAATTTGTAAACCACATTTTGGAGCCGAAATGTTATTCTGATAAGGATAAGGCTAATAGCCGTTACTAGAGGACGCTTAAGTATAAAACCCGGAAAACCCTTCGGGACCCATGAATTCAAACAAATTGGTAATTAATAAAAATATGCAATTTATTACGTATTTAGATCACATAAATTCCTTTATATACATAAATACACTTATGAGCTCTTAAATACTGAAACTGATGAACAATTCGGTTCATGTGAACCTGAAGCACATTTGCAGCTCTGTTCTGCAGCATGTTAAATAATAAAGAGGGCGTGTGTGTGTATAGAGCATTTATTACAAATGCCAAATGAGATTACAGATTTTACAATATCAGAATGCAGCAGAAGGTGGGGCCCAAAAACATCCCACAAGAGGGACAATGAACGTACAGAGAAGGGTCACTCGCCCCACCCAAAAATGTGCTTCAATTACTTAATGTATACAGCTTGATAACGATGTAAATACTAACAAAACTATTCACAACATAGATCAATGGAATTCTAAGGATGGATAATAAAAATATTAACTAAAATAAAATAAATACATAATCGAAACTCATTAACGTACCAACCTGGAATAGAATTATTGCATATCTTGACAAAAACATGTAAATAATTCAAAGAGATATAAACTATTTATACAATCCTCGATATGATACCCAACAACGAATATATTCAGTGCCGCCTAAGACAGTCACCGAATACTTCGTGTACATGTATGTAAGTTTATAAAGTGAAGACAGATAAATTCATACACAACTCGAAAGTCATTAACGTACGTACCAGGAATAGAATTATTGCATATCTTGACAAAAACATGTAAATAATTCAAAGAGATATAAACTATTTATACAATCCTCGATATGATACCCAACAACGAATATATTCAGTGCCGCCTAAGACAGTCACCGAATACTTCGTGTACATGTATGTAAGTTTATAAAGTGAAGACAGATAAATTCATACACAACTCGAAAGTCATTAACGTACGTACCAGGAATAGAATTATTGCATATCTTGACAAAAGCATTTAAATAATTCAAAATGATATGAAATATTAATACAATCCTCGATATGATACTCAACAACGAATATATATTCAGTGCCGCCTCAGACAGTCACCGAATACTTCATGTACGTGTATGCAAGTGTATATTAGTATAAAGTGAAGGCAGATAAATTCATACACAACTCGAGAAAGTCATTAACGTACGTACCAGGAATAGAATAGTTGCATATCTTGACAAAAGCATTTAAATAATTCAAAATGATATGAAATATTAATACAATTCTCGATATGATACTCAACAACGAATGTATTCAGTGCCGCCTCAGACAGTCACCGAATACTTTGTGTACCTGTATGTAAGTGTAGTATAAAGTGAAGGTAGATAAACTATGCAATGTTAAGCTTTCTCTTGCATAATTATGATATTTAAAGCATGAAGTTGACGCTTTTATGAGGTTATAGTATTAACAATTAAATTTTAAAAAAAAGATGCAGAAAAATAGAGGATACCGCCTCAGACAGAATCCTCTATCTAGGTATCTAATACATTCAAATAATACAGAATAAGGGATACTTTCTCAACCATTTATCCTTTACAATCGGATTTTCTACCACCCTAAATGAAAACATATATGTACTAATAGGCGGGAAAATAGAAACCTTAATGTTCTCTGGAATGACACCAGTTGCAACCATCCCATATCTCATTTTGTGAGTCTTAAAAACACTAAAAAATGTGCCAGGGTGTTGCTGTAGCAAAACGAGGGTCCTTTGCAGCTAATTTCACCTACTGCAATTGGGTTGGGATTTTATTTCTAGATAGACTTTTATTTTACCTAAATTGTATTGAAAGTTGATTCATTGTAAGACTCCTTTAAACTCCCTTGTTGTCGTGCCTGAAAAGGTATATTTCCTCAAAGCAGCAAATATGGGTTTGAGTCTGAATGAACCGCGATTTCCCTTCCTCTCAGCAAAGATAAATTACAAAAAGGAACATAACCCTGTAGTAACATGTCCGTTACTAAGAATTGGCTATCTATGGTATTGTCACTATTTTTTTTTTTTTAATTTCGAATATTAAAAGTAATAGGCTGCACGCATCAACTGACATTGCAAACTTTTTTGTTCCACTTAACATTTTACTGATTAACAAACGATTCAAGAAATCGGGGGTGTTTCGCATTTAAAAATAGTATATCCATGCTGCCAAGTGATATAGAGCTAGCTGATTTTCCTAAACTGAATAGGTACAGGTAAGACATAAGACATATAAACCTGTCCCAAGGAGACCACTTTAATACACTTGGTCTATTGATCACCCTGAATGAAACCCTTAAAACAATTTAGAGCATGCCCGTACACTTACTTTGCAATAAGAGCTAAAGCGGAATCTAAAAAGAAATACGGGCTGTGTTTGGAGAGTTGAAAAATATAGATTTGTAATCTTAAATATCCACAAGCACTCTTTACCCAAAATATTGTAAAGAACCAACAATAATCTTCTTTAAAAAAATGAATTTTCTGGTGTTTGTTAAGTTTACAATATGCAATAAACAGCTGTACTATCAGATTGGAATATGACAAATGAATTCTTTAAATAAGTCCCATAATTCAACAGCCAAAACAATTGGGAATAATTCATGAGGGTAATATTGCCTTCTTTTTTTTTTTTTTTTTTTTTTTTTTTTTTTGCAAGATCCATATATTTTTCTATATTCTTTTTTTTTTTTATTATTATTTTTTTTTTTAACAAACAATAACCATTACCCAAGAATCAGCTGTGGAGATGCATGTGTTTTGATGTAACCTTTATACATGGTATATGTTCAAATAACCACCGTATTAAGATACAAACTGTTTGTTTAAATTTCTTTGCAAATGTAGCTTTATTTTTCTCCAATTTCTCAGGTAGCAACATATTGGATTTTCCATTACCACTTGTCAAATTCAATTTAAGAAATACTAGCTTTGTAGATGCCCATGAAGTCTTTTTATCCAACACAAGTAATTCAGAGAAAATGTCCATTGACTTTACCAATCCATTATAAGACCAAAGAAAGATCTTCAAAAGTTAGCAAAAGAACTGGACAACCCAAGTGAAAACCTTATCATATAATACGAGACTTTCCCAGTGAAAGCCCAGTAGTTCATGATCCTCTTTGTGACTGGGTATACACACCAAGCTGAGATACTCAGATGGTATAAAAGATCTTGCACCCTGATGTTGTAAATCAAATCCATGCTTAATTCTGAAACCGAATGTCATTAATGATGACATAATTGCTTAGGAATAAATATTTAAGGACATTTGGGATAATAGGGGTTAAAAAAAAACAAAACAAAACATAACTACATTACTTAAGGAATAATGTCAATTATCTGGGCTTTGCAAATTGTTCCCACACTCTAAACAAATGCATTGGAATTTGCAGTTTTCAAGCTTGCATAGCCCTTCCCTATTATATGGCTAGCAAATTTCTATGGAGATTTGCTTCTCTCTTTTTTTTTTGAAAGCCTTAGTCTAAACCTTGATCAGAAGGGGGAGATGGAAAGACCTGTAGTTTCCTCTCTATATCCCTGTGTTTAAATGCCTGAAGCACAAATTACACACTAACCATTTCTGAAGACATACCCTTAAACTTGTCTATATATCCTAATTTGTTTATCAACAGTTTGTCAAGGTTTACTTCTAGATGATGCCAAACCATGACTTGTCTCTGCATGATTTACACAAAACTGTGTTTCATTTGGGAATTTTCTAGTATAGACAGAAATCAAATGCATAGATTGCTGTTTTCCACTGAAATATAGTATTGATTGTTTGATCTGTATTTCTGGGTGCTACTGAAATGTTAGAGTTAAAATCAATGTGTACCCATTATTTTGGTGGTAGGCACAAGACTGACAAAAGGTGGTGCTCCAAGGTCAATATATTGCTCTTCCTAAGTCTTTTGTTAAAGCATTTATGGAATCAGTGCTAAAATAAAAATTGATCCCCGAAGAAGAAATATTAAATGGTACCAGTTTTAGTCCCAGGTTTTTGTTTGTTTGTTTGTTTTTTTTTTTTGTTTTTTTTTTAATAAACCGTGCCACTTTCTTTGTGTTAAATCATAAACAAGTCCACCTTAATGAAATTTACAATTGAAAATGCAATGTTGGTTAATGATTAGAAGCTTTAACCAAAATATATGCTACAAGCTCTCGATTCATTCAATATAGTTATTATCATTGTGTATATATATATATATATATATAGGTCTGCAAATTATTGTACTCGTACACAAGCAATATATCTGCCTAACTTGACAGGGCTAAGCTAGCTATGTATATCAAACCATACAGGATATGTCAAATGAATTGCCTAAACATACATGACAAAAGTAGGCTATCCCAACCTATAAGATATAGTTATAAGCATATCCCATAAGGGATATGTCAAACAAATTGTCTAACTACCACAAGACAAACCTGGTTATCCAAATAAGGCAAACATACACCTGAGGATATGTAGAACATAAGCATGTCCAACCAAGCAGGACATGTCAAGCAGAGTGTCAAACCATACAGGACAAATCTGGTTTATCTTACGATACACGATAAAGATATTTGTAAGCAGATTTATAATCATACTACATATGTCAAATAAAGTGTTCAACCATACTGAACAACTTCTTTATCCAACCATTCATGATCAATAAATATCAAATATTAACATAACCAACCCTACAGGATATGTCAAATAATTGTACAACCATACAGGATTAATCCTTGATATATAATTATATATACATACATTCTCTATACAAGCATATCCAAACATACAGGATATGTCAAATAAATTATCCAACCATACAGGATAAACTCAGTTACCAAAGCATAAAGGATATAAAAATTCTGTATCTAAACCTATTCATCCATATAGGTTATGCCAAATAAATTGTCCAACCATGTAAAACAAAACTTGGTTACCCAATCACACGATTAACATATAAATACCCTTATATGAGCATATTCAACCATATAGGATATCTCAAATTAACTGTCCAACTATACAGGACAAACAGGTTACCAAACTGTACCAGATATGTATATGTATATATATTTACCATATACAAGCATGTCCAACCATATAGGATATGGCAAATAATTGTCCAACCATACAGGACAAATTGGTAACCAAACCATACAGGATATATATTGAAGTACAAGCATATCCAACCATATAGGATAGCTAAAAATAATTGTCCAACCATATAGGACATCTTGGTTACCAAACCATACAGGATATATATATACTGTATACACGCATATCCAACCATACAGGATATGTCAAATTAATTACAACCATACAGGATATAAATATACTGCATCCAACCATATAGGACAATATGGTAACCAAACCATTCAATATATATACACTGTATACAAGCATATCCAACCATATAGGATAGCTAAAATTAATTGTCCAACCATATAGGACAAGTTGGTTACCAAACCATACAGGATATATATTGCTGTACAAGCATATCCAACCATATAGGATAGCTAAAAATAATGTGTCCAACCATATAGGACATCTTGGTTACCAAACCATACAGGATATATATATACTGTATACACGCATATCCAACAATACAGGATATGTCAAATTAATTACAACCATACAGGATATAAATATACTGCGTCCAACCATATAGTACAATATGGTAACCAAGCCATTCAATATATATACACTGTATACAAGCATATCCAACCATATAGGATAGCTAAAATTAATTGTCCAACCATATAGGACAAATTGGTTACAAAACCATACAGAAATATTTATACATATACATACTGTGCACAAGCATATCCAACCATATAGGATATATATAGCAAAAATTGTTCAACTATATATGGACTACCTTGGTAACCAAACCATACAGGATATATATGCACTGTATACAAGATATAAAACCATAGAGGATTTCCAGAATTAATTAACCAACCTTTTTTTTTTTTTTTTTTTTTTTATTATTATTATTATTATTATGAGCGTGATGTGGCTAATAAATCACTATTGGCATTTCCAAGTTCCAAAAAAAAAAAACCCAAGCAAAGCATAAATATACAATATGAATACCTTAATATGCTTTATCTGTGTAATTATGCAACCAACCCAATGG